GCTGAGACTCATTGCTGCCAGGATCGGCGCCATCTGGACTGGCCCTCTTCTTCTGCCCAGGCGGTGGCGCAGGCTGGTCAGGTTCAAGCGACCTGCGCGAGCTTGAAGAGTACGAAGATGGGGATGGAGCTACCTCCCCCCCTGGCTTCAATTTGGGAGGAGGTTCTTCTGGCTGTTCCGCCGCGGGCCCCCCCGCTGGAGGTTGTCGGGTCTCATCCCCAGCGCCGGGGACAGTGGGCTGAACGAGCTTTCTGAAAGCCACGTTCGCGATCTCGACCTTATCTTTGCAACCCGAATAATATTTATCAGCTCCAACCCTTCTGCCAACAGGGGTTTTTATCCAACCTACCCCTTTGCAATGGTAGGCGATGTTCCTGCCTGGGGAGAGATCCATATCTTCTGTTATCCTGTCACGACATCGATTTTTGTGCCACCGTCGCGGGCGCGGTCCGGAGCAGTGCGAGTCAGGCCCGGAAGGAGCGGCTTCGGTGGGGCCCGCTGCTTCGGCAAGGACCAGGTTGCCAGCCCCGTCATCGCCTTCTGGCCGGTCAGCACCTTCTGGTTTGGAAGCAGCGGGTTGCCCCGCATGACGCTCTCGCTTATAAACCTCGAAGTAGCGATTTTGAGCAAGGTGCTCCCATATTCGTTCGATCCGACTGAGATCTTTCTCGGCAATCGGCTGGTAGCCAGCTTCAGTCAAACATTCTGCAGGTGGGTTATTGGTCGGATCCACACTGCGACCCAGACCATCACCATAGGGCCAAACCCATGGGGTTCTTCCGAAGTTCGGGCTCCTGGATGGACGCCTCATCGGACACCGAGGTCTGCGGTTGGCAAAATATTCGCAAATACAGACAACACCCCGGTATTCCTTCAAGGCATTGATGACGACCCTCTTGAGGTCCCGCCTTGAAGGTTCTCCGGCGTCTTGGCGCCCTTGCCTCTGTTCGCGCGGGCGATCTTGCCTTCGTCATTCCGCTCGACACTTTGAAGCGAATGCCAGCGACATGCTCGGTCCAGCCATGCTCGAGCCAAGATTGCATCGCAGTGGGTGGCGTGTGCTGGCGAGCTAGTCCATGGCCATCATAGCTGACAAGGCCCTGTACGCCTCCTGCGTTGGACGCGGCTGGACGGTTCCCCCTCTGAGGCGGGCCCTCCCGCGAGCGCCCCCTCCTCGGCGGGGTCCTTGGGGCCCTCGCATCAGGAGGGCGAGGGCGCAGGGCGCCGCTGGAGCGCTCGCGCGAGTGCCCGCGCGAGTGGCTGCGGACGCGACCGCGACGCTGAATGCGCCAGTCCTCAGCTTTCCACTCGTCTTCGTCATCATCTGAGCGATTCGCGCGTCTCCAGACCCGGCGGCTAGCTGATCGCCCATGGCGGCTCGCAGACCGCCCATGAGCCGCGAACGCGAAATCACGATCTTCATTATGTCCAAGGTCGCACTGGATGCGCTCTGAAAAGGTCGCCAGCATCTCGCGGGGTTCCCCACAAAGGATCATAATCGCATGGTTCCATGTCTGTCGGATTGCCAACGACCTGAGGATAAAGCATCACTTACATGTCCTCTTCTGTCGCTGGAAGTGTTGCTTCAGAATCCGCAAGTGCTCCCGCCATATCATGATCTACGTCGGCGGGTACATGGGAATCCTCAACAAATTCGATATGTGCAAGTTGCCCCGCGATGGGCATGCCTAGCCAGTCTGACAGGTTGATCTCGTCGTGGCCAATATATATATATACTCGAAGAGCTAGCTCGTCGGCGCATCTCTCGAGGACCTGCTGGCACTTAGATACCTGGCAGCCATGAAGTTAACAGCTGGAGTAGGATTGTGGGCAGGGTCGGCCAATGGCGTTTCCCAGTCGACATACTGCGTGGCCGAATCGGTTTGAGCCAAATTCATTGACGGACCTCTGCCTCCCCCATCGCCCCAGGGGCATTCGCGGCGAACATGTTGCGTGCTACGGCAGATGTCACAGTCCATTGTTGTGCTGTTAGCATCTTCCGGGTTGCCCCGACGTCCCAACCTTTTTCCCGAGGTGCGCCTGCGGCCCCTGCCTGCACCCAGGAATAGTTATTCCTACTGTGGTCCAGTAAGAGATGGGAACGCTAACATGCCCCTGCCATGCAATCGCCGTCGCTTGCCCTTGCCGTTGCCTCGACCCTTACCCTTCCCCCAGGTGCCCGTCGGATGGTACGTCGTACCTTGCGAATTGGCTTCTTCATAAACCGTCTCCATCTGTGTTTATGTTTCTGCTAACATAGAAACAATCATTGAGCCTGTTGTTCTTCCGTAAACTACGTAGGCATGTCGGAATAGTCTTGGGCAGTCGTTTCGTCGTCTGATCACACGTCGGTGTCGGTTCCGGAGTCGAAGTCAGAATCAACGGGTCGCCCCGCTGAGCCTGCATGGGCGGTGGTTTGCGCGGGGGTCGCCGCTGCCGACGGCCCCTGATATCGGGTCCGGGAGTCTTGCGACCCCGTAGCCGGGCCACCATATTGGGCTAATAGTGTGGCGGTCTCCGTTGGTTGCGGATCGCCATTCCAGACGTTTGCAGCCGATTGTCCTGCATTGGCTTCAGCATGAAAGGTTTCGGCGCGGTGACCGCGGCTTGAAATACCACCAATATTGCCAGGGGTTCGCTCAGCAATGTGAGCATATGACCACATGCGTGCAAGTAGAGAATCAAATTGTCGTCGATTCCTCGGCATTTGGTGGTTGCGTGGTTGTAGAAATTGCTGTGCACGCGACGTCCCCACTCCTATGGCTCTGAACAAAATAACTGTTAGGATTAATTGGGGATGTTAAAGACTGCCGTTTCAGCCTCGTAGCGGGCTATCCCGGAGCGCGCCAATGTCTGGTCGATCCGTTCTCCCGCGTGGACTCGAAAGTCGATGAGAGCCGTTCCCAATTGAAGTTGGCGTTCCTCCTCGAAGTTCTCAAACTTCGTGCTGAAGGAGAACATGATGCAAATGGCACCATCGGTATGACGGCCATCGATGTTAACGCCAAAGTTGATAACTGCTGGGGGGGGCTCTCATGGCAATGGTCCGTGCGAGGCCTCCCGCACCACGCTGCAGCGCTGCAGCCTGTTAGGGGGGCGCAATAGCGCCTGTGGTCACGTTGATCCAGGCATGTACCTCTCGAACAAATTCACGGAGATGTACTTGACCGGCCAGGTCCCAGCTGGGGCCGGTTGTCCTTGCGTCGTCTTCGCCACTCATGTGTCCCACAGCACATCCGATAGCAATCCGCATAAGACCAAATATAGTAATACCATCCAATGGCTCCGTAGGTCGTGGTCGGATGTTGGTGGCTGAGGTTTGCGGTGTTTTGTTGTAAGCCTGCGTGGGGGTGGAGGCGGCGCAATAGCATATCGCATGCTACCATGCATGGCATCTTCGGAAAAGTTTCCAAGTGGAGTCGGTGGGTGGACCTCAGGAGTGTAGTAGCGCAGGGATGTAGAACTCGAGTAAGAGGCCTCCGCGAGAGCAGAGGTAGCACTGCAAGTGTCCTTGCGGTTGTGCGTAGTGATGTACATTCCTCCGCGCAAACCCACTGCACCCTGATGTTCCACCATGTCAGTAGCCATAGAGCAAGAGCTGACCACCATAGGCCAGCTCCGCTACCAAGTTTGAAGGGGGCCGGGAGGCCCGTCCAGAAGCTTCGCCTTGGGCGAAGCGCAGCTCCAGCTCTGTGTCGTAGTAACGATAGTCCCAGTCGGAGGAGGTCGTCGCGGGAGCGACGGGCCATCTCAAGCGAAGGATGTTGTCTGGTAGTGCTCCATTCCCAACATTTTGAGCAAGAGAATCTGTCTCGAGGAACGCGGCACGGCAGGCGAAGCTCGGCCGGCAGCGAAAAGCAGCCGGAGGCGTGGCCACATGGCGGTCTGTGCTAAGCAGGACGGCCACCACAATAGTTAATGCTTCGAAGCTGAAAAGGACAATGAGAAGCGCACTCGGATGGCGGAGGGCAGGCCACGGGTGCACTTGAGAAAGATCAAAAGCCATGGAGCGACCCAGACAATCACGTGCAAGCACTCCTATGTCTGGTAATGCTCCATTCCCAACATTTTGAGCAAGAGAATCTGTCTCGAGGAACGCGGCACGGCAGGCGAAGCTCTGCCGGCAGCGAAAAGCAGCCAGAGGCGTGGCCACATGGCGGTCTGTGCTAAGCAGGACGGCCACCACAATACCCCAAATCACTTCCCGAAACAAGAAGGTGTTCTCTGATAACTAGCAGCAATGAGAGCGGCGGCGAGATCGCGGAACAAGCCTGTAGGGTGAGGTTCGGCCACCTTTGTCCACGGGATGCCTCTGCTGGGGTGTGGGCCGCTCAATTCGATGTGTGGGCGGCCGCTATAAAAACAACATCCTTTTCCACAGCAGAGGCGGTTGCGCAGAGGTTCTAGACACGCATCATCTACGTTTCCAAACAGAAAATGGGTCCTCTTGCGCCACCGCGTTCCGTAGATGCAGAAATCCAGTGAGACCTAAGCGGCAGCCCGTAGAGCTCGTCGCCGCAATGCAGGCATCTTCCACATCATGCTGCTATAAGGGTTTTCCAAAAACCAAGGTATCTGATAGAGGTCTAGCGCACGAATGATACGGGGGGTTGCCCTGAGCAGCTTGTTGCCGCGCTGTAGTGCGGCGTGATCATTGACACTGAATTCTGATCTGTCTGTAACTCCCCAGGGCTGTGACGAGGTTCTGATGAAACGAGCTCGCATTCTTGCTATCGAGAAACTGGTGCACTCTGTCGCGATTGCTGCGCCAAGGATCAGACCACTCTTGGCATCCTCTTCCAGGCGGCGAAGCACGGCGTGATCGGTGAGATCTAGGCTCTGGCTGTAACGAAGATCCCAGAGTCGCGCAGGGTAACCACGGCGCGCAATTGCCTTCCCGACGCCGCCCTCGCCACAGAACAGGTCGGCAAAATACTGGCGTTGATTCACGGCGCCACAAAAGGCAGGGCGGCCGCGTGGTCGAAGAAGAGAGCCTCGAGTCACTTGTCCGCCTTTCGGGGGGCAGCCACCTCCCAAGGCAGCAGGCGGGGGGCAGAGAGGTTCAGCCTGGCGGCGTTCTGGTATCTCTTGAGCGAGCTCCTGCGTTCCCGGCCACCTCGCTTTTTCAGCTCCATGTGATCGCCGCGGCGGTTCTGTAGGTCCAGCATCTTGTGGGTGGCCGCCCTTGACAGCGGGAACAGCAGCGCCCCCCAATCGTTCGAGCTTCCTTTTGCTGGCTGGATGAGATCCTGGCGCTGGATTGCGAGCGGCTCGCCTGGGCGGTGGTGCGTCACGATCATCCACAGGATGTGCGCGCCCATGAGCCAGCACCCTCGGCAGCAGAGGTCCCAGACGACAGCTGACCACACCATGCGGGCGACCGGTTTCCTTGAGCGCCGCCCGCATCTCCGGCGCCACCCCTTCAGGCATCGCCAGGCCCAGAGGAAGCGCGATCTCCCCAGCTTGCCATACTCGGGCTGGAAGTGCAGCAAGGCCGACAGCAACACGTCGCCCTTGTTCGAGTGATGGCCCGGCTCGTATAGTCGGGGATGGACAGACCCCCCTTTAGCAAAACGTGGTTTAGTGAAAACGACCTGAGGCCCAAACCTGGCGGGCGCAAGCCTGGAAAATAACAGCCGCGGCGCCCTCTCGAGAACCGAAAACGGACAATTCACGAATCGACGTGTCACTGTTGGGGGTTCTGTCCACCTCCGATATAGCCCGTTCATGTAGTGCACGAGCACATCGTCCACCTCGCTGTCCACGACGAGCTGGCGCTCCTTGGCGGCGTCGATGAAGCTCTTGGCGTCTGTGCCCAGCCTCGCCGCCGAGCGCTCCAGCAGCGTGAGCCCCGCCAGACTAGACTGGGCGGCGCCTTGGCCTGGACGACAGCCCGAGCGTGGTGCTGGGCCGTCTGGCGGAGCTGACGGGTGCGAGCTGCCTCTGACTCGTTGGCCACGGTCGTGGCGTCGCTGCCCCCGCCGTCGCCCGTCGGGCTGCAGTTCGCCTCTAGGTCGCGCGCCGCGGCCCTTGAGGCGGGCGGGGCCAGGGTGAGCCGCTGCCGCACGCCGTCCCGGGGCGCTCCCAGCGCCCGCGTCTGGCTGGCTGGCGCCTGTGGCCCGCTCGGCAGGCCCTCCGGCCCGGGCGACAGCACTTGCGAGCGCTTCGCAAGCGGCTCGGGCGCGGCATGCGCGGGCGCGCTGCCTCCTGCCGGCAGCGGCGTTGCCAGGCGGCGACAGTGCCCCTGACTGGCCGGCGGCCCAGACGCCATGGGCGCGCTGGTCGTCGCGCCCCTGATCGCCTACCGCCGCGGCAGGTCGCCGGGGCTCCCCCGCAGGGGCGCTCTCGGGAGCCGAGGTGGCGACGGCGGCAGGCTGGCTCCTCTGGGGCTCGTGGAGGTCCTGAGGGTCTAGAGTGCTAGGGGTCTCGGTGAGCTCGTCGAAGGCCTGCGGGGATGTTCTGGGGCTCGTGCTCGTAGTGGCTGAGGTACTGGTGAGGCCCATGACTGCGTGCTTGCTCGTGCTCTCATCTTTGCCAAACTTGTCGTGCAGGCAGTTCTCCGTATCCGCGTGCTTGCAGTAGTGTGTCGTCTTGGTGCGTGCATTATCTTGCTCATGTACATGCTGGGGTAGCCTGCGATTCACTCGTACTTTGCCGTAGTCCTCAGAAGCCTCCCAAGAGTGCACCGCGGTCTTACCGGGGTCGTAGCTCGGGTCGCACAGCCTAGAGCCCTCGTCACTCGGGTTGAGCTCGCTCGGGACCCATCTCACGTGCAGGCGCTTGTTGAGGGAGAGGCACAGGGCGACAGCCCGACGAATGCATGCGAGGACAGTGAAGTTTTTTGCTCTCCTCCTCTCAAAGCACAGCACTGCGGGCAGGTTGTCGCTCATGACGACGGCGTGCTCGCCCTCTCGCGGTGACAGGCTGCGCAAGATCTCTACAGCTCGCAGGAGGGCACGTGATTCGTAGACCAGAATGTCTTCCGAAGTATTAAGCCACCCACGGGCGACTATCTCAGTCCAGCGGGACCCTGAGAAGATCTCCGCCGCCATCTCTTTGAAAGTTCTGTCAAGCCCCCACTGGGTCTGGGGCGCAACCTCGTCATGTTCACCAAGATCGGCAGCATCTTTGAACGTCCCGGCACTGGTCATCACGATGCCGTTGCTGGCGAAGAAGTGGGCCCGAGCGGAATGGCCGCCCAGGCGGCGGAAACGGGATCGCTCCTGCACCCGCCCGATCTCCTTCACAGCGGCCAGCTCGAACAGCGAGGCGCTCACCGCGCAGCCGTGCTCCGACGCGTCGGAGAGGCAGACCAGCGGGCACCACGGGGGCGCCCAGTCGCCGCGCAGCAAGGGCATCAGGCCCCGGAAGGCGACCATCTCGGCCAGCGCCGTGGGCCAGAGCGGCGCGGCCTCCTGGTAGTGGGCCGCTATGAACTTGTAAATCGCGTTCAAGACCGGGAGGAGGTCGCGGTTGCACATGGCGCAGTAAGCGCAGTGACCGAGGACGACCTCCCATGTCCAGCCTGGCAGGGCTCTGCAGCTCAGGGCCCACGAGACACCTTGTCGCACCCGCCAGTAGCGTTTGGCCGTGAGCCTGGTGGTCAGCGAGACTCCGTCCAGCACGCAGCCCAGCGTCACGCCGCGGCCCCTCTGGATGTCCGTCTCGTGCGTCCTCAGGCCCGCGGCGTCGAACCTCGTAGTGGCGGCGGCAAGGCTCGAGGACACCTCTGCGCCGTCGAAGCCCATCGCCCCGAGGTTGTCGACGTACGTATACTGGGCGCCTCCTCCCTCGGCCAGCTGGGCCGACGGCCGAAGCGCTGTCGTCGGGCCCCCGTCGCTCATGCGGTGGGCCCGCTCTAGTCCGGGCGTGGCGTCCATGACGGCCTCGCCCACCTCCTGGCAGAAATAGAGCGACCAGGTGAACCCCATCGGCAGGGCGGCGCAGGCTGGCACCAGGCGGCGGTCGGGAGGCGCCGCGCTGTCCCCGATGGCCCTGCCGGTCACCCCGATCTCCTGCGCTGTCACGGGGCGGAGGCAGAAATAGGAGGAGAGCCCACGGTCGATCCTGAACCGATGGAAGGCGTCGCTGATGTCGGAGGTGCCCAGCGTGAAACCGAGGTCCGGCTGGCCACCGCACTCGACGCCCCCCACCTCGACGCGGGCGAACCCCTCGGCCGGCACGAGCGATGCCCCAGGGGGCGAAGTGAAGTGCAGGTTGCTGCGCCGAGCATCTATGATAAGGCGCAGTTGGTCTGATTTCTTGGGGGCGAAAAAGATCCCGACGTCCTCGCGCCGCTCACTCTCGTCCAGGAGCACCAGAAGGCCCTTGGCGTAGAGGGGCTTCACCAGGCGGACGTAGAGTCTGCGGTTGCGAGCCAGAGAAGGGCCCCAGTGTGGAATGACATCACACTCATCAAGGCGGCGACGTAAACTGGCCTCATCTAGAAGCATCCGAGAAAAACCGCCTTCGAGGAAATGGCGTGCATGGGCAGGGGCGATGTCCAACAGCCGTGGCCCTCCCACCGCGGTCTTAGGTAAAGATATCTGCCCCACATTGCGAAGACGTCCTACGTTCCGTCCGGCCGACTCGTCGTAGACACTGCGGCCGTGCAGCAGCTCAGAAAAGGCCGCTCGCGGGGAAGGGATCGCGGTCTCCATCGGCGGCATGCGCTCAGCCACGCATTCCAGGATCCGCGCGTGCACCTTCATCTGGTCATAATTCGGCCTGTCGCCTGTGGAGGTGCGGTTCATCAACCAATTCAAGGCGTCGACGACCTCGTCGAAGTCCTGGCAGGCTCGCCTGGCGAGCCGAGCAGCCCCGCGGCCCTGGAGCTGCGGCCAGTCCCCCTCATGGTCGCTCAGCCTCGGCAGGGAGAACACCGACAGCAGGCCCACCCCGACTTCACGACTTGGCTGTGCGCTACCGGCGGGGCGCCCAAACCCGCCGGCGGGAGCAGTCATGCCGCCCGTCGGCGCCGCCAGAGGGCCCACTCGGCAGCCCCTCGCCGACCTCCAGCACCACGGGGGGCCCGGCAGCCCGGCTCTTCCAGCTCTCCTGCTCCATCTCCTCCTTGTTGCGGCGGAGGAATGCGGTCCTCCAGGCTGGGTCCATCATGCCCATCGGGCCTGCCACGCCCATGTAGTGCCGCAGCCCGTCCCACATCGGGGGCTTGAGGGGGGCGCCCGAGTAGGCCTCGACGATCTGCGACACACGAAGACACAACACTTCAATGCTGGCCATGCTGGGTAGGTTGACCTGGTAGTAGCTTCCCGCGCAGAGGATCGAAGTGAGCAGGCATTTCATCTCGATGTAGCTGCGGTCCGTCTGGCTCAGCTGGCGGCCCCTGTCCGCCGCGTCGACGGGGATTGCCTCCGCGAGCTGCCAAACGCCGACCTCCCTCACCATTGCGTGGTCGTCGTCCAGCCTGACACCGCCGGGCTCCAGCGCCACTTCGGTTCCCAGACGAAGATGGATCTCCTCGGGATCAACCAGCGGCTCGTCGCCAACGTACACCTGCTGATCAGTCCTCGACCTGAGCACGGCGGCGCGCAGCTCCTCCCAGGTCAGCGGCTGCTCGGACCGGTAGGACGCGCCATGGGCCAAGGCGGGTGCCGTGCCATCCCGCGCGACGGTGAAGGCCCTGTTGCAGCCGTCGCCGACCGCACCCGACACGTCCTCGGCGCACCGGTCGCCGCCCGGCGTCAGCACCCACCAGTACATGCACCCCGCGAGGTAGAGCAGCACTCGCTCATGCCACACCGTGTCGCGTGGGTACCAGAGCCCGACTCGGCGCCCTGGCCGGGGCTCACTGCACCACGCCCCCACCTCGACGAACGTGCCGTCCGCGGCCAAGGTCGTCGGGCCGCGGCGGCGGCGGGGGAGTGGGGCGATCATTCCGACGGGCTCGGGCCGCCACGCAGCAGCACACCAAGATCACCGCCTCCCCGCAGGCGACCCCCCACGCCAAGATGAAGGCGAAGGGACAGCCCTCGCCCACGGCTGGGCCTGCCTCGGGCGCGGACCGCGCCGCACGGGCCCCCTCAGACCCCAGGGGCGGCAGCCGCTCCAGCAGCGCCGCGGCCACCTCGTCGGCCGAGGGGCAGGTGGCTGGCGCCGGCGAGGAGTTCGCCGCCAGCCAGGGCCCGAGCTTCTGCGCCACGGCCGCGGCCACCGCGCCGGCGCTTGGCGCTGGCGGCGGAGGCGGCGCCGACGGCGCGGGCGGGGGCCACTGCGGCGCGTGGCACACGCAGGATGGGCAGCTGGTCGAGGCGGCAACCAGCGCCGCCAGCCAGCTCGTTGCCCAGCGCAGCCCGGCCCAGGCAGCGGGCGCCCCCACCGCGGCGCTCACCGCGAGCGTGGCGGCGCCGCCCGGGGCCATGGCCCAGCCCCACTCATGCACTTGAGAAAGATCGAAAGCCATGGAGCGACCCAGACATCACGTGCAAGCACTCCTATTTCGGTCTCGATGGCAAGTAGTATGCCTCGCAATGAGGCGCAAATATATGTTGGCGGCCGGCCGGTTGAACACAAACGGCCGCGGACAAACGCTCGCTATCTCTCGCCCTTGTCCCAGCTCAATTTGGAATCAACATGGCTTCTAAGATGGTCACGTTGGCCAAAGATGGCCTCCAAGATGGTCCAAGTTGCCTCCAAGTCCGCCGGAGAAGCCACCAAGACGGCCCAAGAGGCCCCCAAGAGGCCTCCAAGACGGCCCGAGAGGCCTCCAAGATCGCCCCCGGAGCGCCCAAGAGGCCTCCAAGATGGCCCCAGGAAGGCCCAAGAAGCCCCCAAGAAGGCCCAAGAGGCCTCCATGACGGCCAACATGGCCTCTAGGGCGGCCCTGAAAAACCCCAAGAAGGCCCGGAGACGGTCCAGACGGCTCCCAAGATGGCTTCTGACGGCGTCAGATGGCCCAGGAACGCCCTAAGACCGCCACAGAGGCCCCGAACAAGCCCCAAAAGGTCCCCAAGAGGCCTCCAAAAAAATCCCAGGAAGCTCCCAGGAGACCCCGAGAGTTCCTCCTCCTCCTCCTCCTCCTCCTCCTCCTCCTCCTCCTTTTCCTTCTCCTCCTCCTCCTCCTTCTCCTCCTCCTCCCATTTTTCTTCTTCTCCTCAGTATCCTCTTCCTCACGTTTTCCCCGAAGGGTTTCAACGACGGCTGGGGGAATACATGGTCCGATAGCTTGGCCTAGCTCTGGCCCAACTTTCGGCCACACAGGCGCTTCCAAAAAGGCAGGGGGCGGCAGTGATTCGTAGGCGTTTTCGATATAACCAGGAGCAGGAGGAGGAGGAAGAAGAAAAGAGAGGAGAGGAGAGGAGAGGAGAGGAGAGGAGAGGAGAGGAGAGGAGAGGAGAGGAGAGGAGAGGATGGACGGCAGGATGGGCAGGGCGCTCCCTGGCGGCCCGCGCTTGCCGCTGCGGGCCAGCTCCCGATGTGCCCCCGCTTCTGTCATCGACGCTTTCGTTGTGGCCGTGGTATTCCTCGTCGTCGTCGTCGTCGTCGTCGTCGCTTTTGTTGTGGACGCCGTCGTCGTCGTCGTCGTCGTCGTCGTCGTCGTCGTCGTCGTCGTCGTCGTCGCTTTCGCTGAGGCCGTCGTCGTCGTCCTCGTCGTCGTCGTCATCGTCGTCGACGTCGTCGTCGTCGACGTCGTCATCGTCGTCATCGTCGCATTCGTCGTCGTCGTCGTAGTCGTCGTCGTCGTCGTCGTCGCCGCGGCCAGGGCGCTCCCTGGCGGCCCGCGCCTGCCGAGGGCGAGACCCAGGGGCTCCCGGAAGGCCTCGGCCGCGAGGCGGGCCTGCTCGCGGGCGCCCAGGTCCGCCTTGCAGCGCAAGGGGCGGGCGGAGGTCTCGGGGGAGATCCCTCGGCGGAGCTCGCCGCCCCGAGCAGAGAAGAGAGAAGAGCTCCTCCGCCTCCTCCTCCTCCTCCTCCTCCTCCGCCTCCGCCTCCTCCTCCTCTCGCCTCCTCCTCCTCCTCCTCCTCCTCCTCCTCCTCCTCCTCCTGTTCCTCCTCCTCTTGTTCCTTCTCCTCTTGTTCCTCCTCCTCCTCCTCCTCCTCCTCCTCCTCCCCGTCCTCCTCCTCTCCTCCTCCCCCATCTCCTTCTCCTGCTCCTCCGCCTCCTCTCCTCCCCTCCTCCTCCTCCTCCTCCTCCTCCTCCCCCTCCCTCCTCTCCTCCTCCTCCTCCTCCTCGTCCTCCTTCTCCTCCTCCTCCTCCTCCTCCTCCTCCGCCTCCTCCTCCTCCTCCTCATCAGCCTCCTCCTCCTCCTCCTCCTCCTCCTCCTCCTCCTCCTCCTCCTCAGGGTCTCAGGGTTGGATTTCTTCGGAAGGTCTCTTGTGGTCGAGCTCCTACTGTAAAATCCATGTTTTTTTTGAGGCGGATCCAGCCGTGGCGACGAGAAGCCTCCAGGAGGCCCGAGAAGGACGGAAAGCGCCTGGAGGCAAGCAGGGTGCTTCTTGGCATGGGTTTCCACTGCAAGACTGGGGTTCCGGGGGCACTCGGCTTGGCCACGGGGCCGTTAGGACAACGACGAGACCCAATCAGACAGTGGGCGCAAGCTCTGCTGCAGACATCTCACGAGCAATGAGGAGGAGGAAAGGGAGAAGGAGGAGAAGGAGGGGGAGGAGGAGGAGGAGGAGGAGGAGGAGGAGGAGGAGGCGGAGGAGAAATCCAGGACGGGCCTGCCGAAAAGCGCTGGCCAACCCGAGTTTCGGCGAGCTCGAGTCCCACGCTTCCACGAGAGAGGCGGGTCTGCATGGCGACCTCACGCCGCGGCTCGCGCGGGGCGCCAGCGTGGCGGACCGCGTGGCGGGGAGGGGCGCCAACGCGCAACCTCACGCGGGCAACCGATACGCGAACGTCGCCGCAGTCGACCCTGTTTTTCTGTGTCGCCCACTCTGGGAGGACGAGGACCAGAGCCACCATGACCTCCTGTGCGCGCGGTGTTGGGGCAATGCCTTTCTACACTTTTCGCACGCACGCCGTCATCAGCCAGCCCGGCCCAGCAGAGGATCCCCCCAGGGAACGGAACGATCGCCCGATACCGGCAACAGATCTGCATCGACGCGATTTGGTCGTCTGGCCTGATTGTCCTAAGTTGACAGTGTGAGAACGAGGAGCGAAGAGAAGACGGCGGGAAAGAAGACGGCAACGAACAAGACGGGCAAGACAGGGAGCGGAGGCAGGGCGGGTCGGGAAGGGCGGGGAGGCCAGGAAGAAGAGGGCGCCCACCACCGCTCTGCCTGCCACGGTTATTGGACTCGCTCAGGAAGCTCCCGGACGTCTTGTCGCCTTCCGTTTCATGAGATGTTAGAGATGTGCTCGAACATTACGGGTGATCATCCGACTTCTCAGCACCACTGGCAGGCGGAGCAGCCTCCAGACCGACGCTGAACGACTCCGAAGGCAAACCGAAGGACGAAGAGCCACGGTATGCCAGGCACCTCCCACGGCCCCCTGACCTCGCCCACTCCCTCCAATTCCTCCTCCTCTTCCTCCTCCAAATCCATCTTCCGCTCCTCCTCCTCCTCCTCCTCCTCCTCCTCCTCCTCCTCGTCCTCCTCCTTCTCCCCGTCCTCGTCCTCTTCGTCCTCCTCCTCCTCGTCCTCCTCCTCGTCCTCCTCCTCTTCCTCCTTCTCCTTCTCGTGCTCCTCCATTATTCCTTATAGACTCTTCCATGTCGCGCCCAGAGGCCTGTCTACAGGGCGAGCCTGTGCGTTTCGCGTGAGGCTTCGTCACCAATTAAGACCCAGATGCTTAAAATTGACACCAGTTTCGCACATGGAGGGCGGGTCGTTTTCAAAATATGGCTCTCGCCCTAGTGCCGCGCACATCAATTCTAAAACATTAGAATAGCTTCACGGAATGAGGGCGGGTGGCTTTCAAAATGTGGCTCTCGCCGTAGCGCCGCGCACATTCGTTTCAAACGTTTGCATGGGCCTCACAGATTAAAGGCGGTTCGCTTTCAGAATGTGACTCTGGCCCCAGCGCCACGCACACTCATTTGACACAACGTAAGAGCTTCACGGATTAAGGGCGGGGCGTTTTCAAAAGGTGGCTTTCGCCCGAGCGCCACGCACTCTCGTTTAAATACACGTAAGACCTTCACGGAGGGCGGCTCCTCTCCAAAATGTGGCCGTCGCCGTGGCGCCGCGAACAGTTGTTTCGAACATTTACAGGAATTTAGCGCACAAAAAACGGAGTTTGGGAACAATTCAGGAGTGTCAGGGCGCAACAGCTAGGTTGCTTAGTAGTGTTGACGTCCCAGGATCAGTGTTCTGGCACGATTAGGGTCGCCAAGACCGAACAATCAGGTTAACTCGTGGCTTTGAAGTCCAGACTACGTTGTTTTGGCCCGCTTCAAGATGTTCACCTGGTTGTCCCCCTACGGGGCGATTCCCTCAGTGGACATGACCACTTGTAGGAAAAAGGAATCTTGGAGGGAGGGTGTATTTCAGCATCGTTGATGAGTCTTGGGTTTACACTCGTCATCCTCCTCCTCTTCGTCCTCCTCCTACTCCTCGTCCTCGTCCTCCTCTTCGTCCTCATCCTCCTCCTCCTCCTGCTCCTCCTCCTCCTCCTCTTTCTCCGCCTCCTCCCCCTGGCTGTTCCTCCTCCTCCTCCATGCTGTTCCTCCTCCCGATCCTCCTCCTCCTCCTCCTACCCCTCCCGCCCTTTGCCCCTCCGCCTCCTCCCCTCCTCGCCCGACCGGGGTGAGAACAACGACGACGACGACGACGACGAGGACGACGACGACGAGGGCCTCCGCCCGGCCGGCCTTCGGCTTCGGCACCCTCTCGGCCTCGGCGGCCGCGAGGTCCAGCTCGGAGGGCCCGAACTCGAACGAGGGCGCCGGCACCGTTGCCTCCGGCGGCCGCCGCCCCCGCCCGGCGGCGGCGTGCTCCACCGGGGGGCGGCCGGATCTCGCCGCTCGATCGCCGCGCGGCCCAAGAGGGAGAAGGAGGAGGAGGGGGAGGAGGAGGAGGAGGAGGAGGAGGAGGAGTAGGAGGAGGAGGAGGAGGAGAAGGAGGAGGAGGAGGAGGAGAAGGAGACGGAAGAGGAGGAGGAGGAAAGGAAAGAGAAGGAGGAGGAGGAGGAG